CACATTTTTGTTTGATTTCATTCATTCCAATCCCTATAGCCTGCCATTTCAAGAAAATCCAAGGAAGCCCATCAGATTGGAAACAAGAACAAGAAAGGAAAATTTTGTTTTTTTTTTCCCCTCAAATCTGCAAAATCCATTTTTTTAACTGGACTCCATGTTCCAAATGAAGCACATTGACGGCGGCCCTTCAACGCCGGGCAAATTCAAGATGGAAAAATCGGCTTACAATCGGCTCAGGCTACAATCATCCCTAGCCAAGCTCACTTTCTGGTCCTTCCTGTTCATGGGCTTCATCTTCGTCTTCTTCTTCAAATCGCCATCGTCCTCCTCCTCCTCCTCCTCCTCCTTTTCTCCCTCAGATCCCTCCAGAAGGTCCCTTCGCACCAGCGCCTACGCCGGTCCCGAATTCGAGAAGCGCGTCCGCGACTCCGCCCGAATCCGGTCCGGACACGGGATCTCCGTCCTCGTCACCGGCGCCGCCGGTTTCGTCGGCACCCACGTCTCCTCCGCCCTCCGCCGCCGCGGCGACGGCGTCGTGGGCCTCGACAATTTCAACGACTACTACGATCCCGCCCTGAAACGGGACCGTCAGTCCCTCCTCGAGCGTAGCGGGATTTACATCGTCGAGGGCGACATTAACGATTCCGATTTGCTGGCCAAGCTTTTCGACATCGTCAAATTCACCCACGTTATGCATCTAGCCGCTCAGGCCGGCGTTCGCTACGCCATGGAAAACCCTAGCTCGTATGTCCACAGCAACATAGCGGGCCTCGTCACCCTCCTCGAGGCCTGCAAGAGCGCGAACCCTCAGCCCGCAATCGTGTGGGCCTCGAGCAGCTCAGTCTACGGGCTGAACACAAAAGTCCCCTTTTCCGAAAGGGACAGGACCGATCAGCCTGCCAGCCTGTACGCCGCCACCAAGAAAGCCGGAGAGGGGATTGCACACACGTACAATCACATTTACGGGCTTTCGCTGACTGGATTGAGGTTCTTCACGGTATACGGGCCTTGGGGCAGGCCCGATATGGCCTACTTCTTCTTTACCAAGGATATCCTAAAGGGGAAGTCGATTCCAGTCTTTGAGGCGGCTAAACACGGCACAGTGGCTAGAGATTTTACCTACATTGAGGATATTGTTAAGGGCTGTTTGGCTGCGTTGGATACGGCTGAGAAGAGTACGGGCAGTGGGGGAAAGAAGAAGGGCCCGGCCCAATTAAGGGTTTACAATTTGGGGAACACTTCGCCTGTGCCCGTGTCCGATCTTGTGAGCATTTTAGAGAAGCTGCTTAAGGTGAAGGCTAATAGGTCAATCACGAAGCTGCCTAGGAATGGTGATGTGCAGTTTACCCATGCAAATATAAGCTTGGCGCAAAGGGAGCTCGGGTATAAGCCCACAACTGATTTGCAGACGGGCTTGAAGAAGTTCGTCCAGTGGTATTTAAGTTACTATGTGAACAAGAAGAAAAGCATGCAGTGATACAGTTCCTTGAAATATTTGCGTGGTAGGGTTAAATATCCTATTCCTTCTTTGTTACATTCTTGTGATTGTTTT